TTGTCATTTATTGGATGTGTCCATGTGCCAGGCACTTCCTGCAGATTACCACCTCGTGGCCCTCTCAGGTGGGCTCCATTTTAATTCACATTTCCTAGATGAGGAAACTAAGACTCAGAGAAGGGAAGGAATTTGCCCAAGGTCGTATTCCTAGCCAGCCATGGACCTGAGAATTAAACCACATCTGTTAGACCCTGGAAAGGATTCCTTTTTTTCTTTTTTAATATTTATTCCTAAGTAATCTCAATACCCAACATGGGGCTTGAACTCACAATCCTGAAATCAGGAGTCCCACAATCCACCAACGGAGCCAGGAACGTGCCCCACCCCCACCCAGACAGGATTCTTTATCAAATCGTGGTGGGCAAAATACTAACCACTATCTTGAAAAAGAGACCGCTCCCACTTTTGAATATAAGAATATATAATTATTATGATTATTCACATTTATAAAGTACTTTCCATTTGCAAATTATATTCACATCAGAAATCTGAGTCATCGAAAACGCCCCAAGAGGTGGGCATTGCTCTAACTGCCATTTGGCTGATGAGCTCAGTACAGTGCAGACAGCTTAAAGAATCTGCCTAGGATTCCAGGATTCAGAAACATAGGCTGGGAACCAGACTAGCCAGGGCTCAAGTCCTAACTCTGCCATTTTCATTCCTTCAACAAATATTTATTGAGTGTTTAATTATGGGAGTTCCAGCAAGTGACTTCACCTCTCAGAACCTCAATTTTCTTTTTGTGAAAGAGTCTTAATACCACTCATCGAAGCCATTTCTTCCTGCATCTGAAAATGCTAGATGCTTGCCTTCCTTGGCTTCCCTGAAGGGAGAGCATGAGCGTGTGACCTGATCCTGGCCAGTGGGATTTGAAAAGAAGTCTGAGAGGGCTCCTGGGAAAGGTTTGCCTCTCAGGGATGAAATGACCCTCTTCACTGGTTGGACCTCATGGGTCTGCACTAGCAGTCTTGTGACAAGAGGCAGCAAGCCTGGGGACCAAGCTACATGCAGGAGCTGGAGGAGCAGAAAGACAGAAAGATTCTAGAATCCTGATGGCATCCTGGAGCCATTCACCCCAAACCAGCTACCTTGGAACTTTCTGTTACAGGAAATGATGCATCTTCCTCCTTGCAGAGGCCGCTTCCAGTTTTCTCTTCCACCACTTGCCGTCCAAACTGGCAGATTACCTGATAGGATAATCTATCCTTCAATGTTGAGGGGATTTCAATGAGATAGGGGTTTTAAAGTACCCCTAATTAGTGCCTAGCACACTCAACAGTAGCCAATCAGACTGAGATACACGCCCCGAGACTATTCCAGGGAGGGCAGATGCTCCTGGCCTGGCAAATTATACCCCTCTCTCTCCTGCTAAGAAAAGCCTGGAGGTTTTTCCAAGAAAGCGGAAACCCAGCGGTGGCCTAGGACCACAATCTTGTCGCTCTGACAGGGCCGACCCCAGCTTCCAAACAAGAATCCATCACACTGCCTTTTGCCTAATGGATTTTGATTTTCACTCCCCTGACGGTGAAGGCAAGAGCCTGTACTTTGGTTTGTCTCCGTGTTGCCAGAACATCCCATCAATTATTAACAGCGTCAGCTCCGTCTCCCGGTACTGCTATCAGGAGGAAAGAGTTGGTTGCAACTCAGCCCACCCAGTCATGGAGAAGGACTCTGCTCCTACTTACAAAAACAAGCCGCACCTACTCCCGTGTGCTAGGCACTATGCTAAAGCTTGAGAAACAATTTCAGGATGATTCTGCAAGGAGGACCTTGTGTCTCCATCTTATAGGTGGAAGATGAGGGCTCACAGAGGTGAACCACCTACCTGAGGCCAAAAACTGGGGAGGGGGTAGGACTGGACCTGGGATCCTGGTCTGTCCTTGCTCTAAACATAAGAGATATGCTTGTTCCTGCATCCCACAACCACCGAGAAATGATCCTCCATTTGACAATCTCATTCTGGGGCCTCTGAGAAGTGTCCACAGGCTTTGCTGTTCTGACAAGCAAGGCACCTAACTTGGGGATGGATGGAGTGGGCAAAGCGCAGATGATTGAAGGAGGCCAGGAAGCTGGGCTGCAGGCAGCCCGTGAGGAACAAGAGACAGATCCCCAAAACCCGTGACAGGCTGACTGACTGATGGTTTGATCCTTCTTTCAGTCCACATGTTATTGGGAGCTCCTCTGGGCCAGCCATCTTGATGGGTGCTGGGAACAGAGCAGTGACTATAACTCATGGAACTCACACTCTGGAGGGGGCAGGGGAGGAAGAAAAGGAAGAAAATACAACTTCAGATGGTGCTCAGAGCCTATGCAGGCAAGACACTGAATGTGGTTTCAGAGTAAGGGGAAGGAGGATGTTTTAGACAGGGGTCTCTCAGAGGAGGGCTTATGTGAACAGGGACTTGCTTAAATGAAGAATGAGGAGAAACAGCTGGCGACAAGACAAGGGGGTGAAGTATTCCAGGTGGCAGGAATAGCCAGCGCAAAAGTCCTGAGGTAGGCTGAAGCCTTCCCTGTATAAGAACAGCAAGGAAGCCAGTGGACTGGAGCGCAGTGAACCAGAGGAGAGTTGAGCAGATGAACTCAGAGAGAGGACATGGGGACCGATTCAGTAGGGTCTGATAAGCCATAGTGGAAGGTTTGGATTTTATTCTGAGTGTGGTGGGAAACCTCTCGAGGATTTTAAGAAGATGAAAAATGTGATCCAGCCTATATTTTGAAAAGCTCACTCTGGCTGCATTGTGCACCATGAGTGCAGGGGGCAAAAGTGGAAGGGAGACTGGAGAGAAGTCTGTGGCACTCAACCACTATGGAAAGAACAACATCTTCAAAATCACACTTGGATTTGAATTTCTGTCTACTCCCATTTGCCTGCTGTGTGACCTTAGGCAAGTTACTCAACCTCTCTGAACCTCCCTATTTGTAAAAGGCTGGATAATAACAGAGAGCTGGTATAAGGAGCAATTGTATTGTAACATTCCATACACAGTAAATGTTTGATCAATGGTGGTCGGGATTTCTATACTGAGGGACCAATGAGCCTGCCTGCCTGCCTCCCCATTTCAGCTCTGGCTGCAGAATGTCCTAGGCAGTCCATCTGCCGGGAATGTGAGTGGACAGCCTGAGCCTGGGATCATGGAGAGGTCATGAAGCCCCTCCCCGTGAGCGGATTAACCCGAGGGCACGACTAGGCTGTTTATTCCCAAACAGCACCTTTTGCAACCCTGAACTCCCTCCCGGGTCTTGCTGCCAGACACCAATCCAAACACAGCCCTTTGACGCCTTCTTCTCTGGGAGGGTGACTCGACCCTCCCCAGCCCCTCATTCTCACGTCTTAGGGACAGGATAGGGTGGAGGGGTGGGGGTGGGGAAGAGTCGTGTTTGGGCCTAACCAGGGGGTGTGTAGGAGGAACCCTCGTCAGGCCTGGAAATAGCAAAATAAGTCTGCTGATCCTAAGCCGGTTAAGGGTGAGTGACTGTCTTAAGAGAGAGGCTTTCTGGACACAAACCCTAGGGCAGGATTATGGTCAGAGGCAGCCCACAGAAGAGGAAATCAGGCCTAGAAATCTCTACATCCTCTTGGGGTTTGCCAGGGAAGAGGGAAAATGTTCAGGCCTCCATCCACCTTCCTTCCAGCCACCCCCTCCTGCCTCTATTCTCAGAGGCCTCTCCCCAAGCTGCCAGATCTGGGAAAGGGACCCCACAGTGTCCCCTTCAGACCCAGCCTTGCAGGTGGATCTTCAGTGAGGGGCCACCTAAGCCAGGGGGATCCCAGAAGGAGAGGCCAGCGGGGACACGAGGCAGCCCAAGCACATACATGATGTTGATGTACACGCTTCCTCCTGCCTTTTTCCTTTTGCCACGAACACATTGACCTGCCCGTCCACCCCATCCCCACCCCTCCTGGCCCCACTCTTTCAGAGTGTTCAACATGTCTTTCCTGACATGGCAGTCCTGGATATGACACCAACACTTCTCTTTTCTGGCTCCCCCTGGGCCTTACACAACCTCTTTGAGAGCACCAAACACATGCGTTGCCATTTACTCCCAACACTCAGCGCTCTGGCCACCTGAAGACAGGCCCCATCTCTCTGAGCCATTCCCGGAACCCAGCCTCACACAACGGAGCCGCTCATCAACCACTGACCCCCTTCCCTGGTCTGGCCCCCCCACCCCAAGTCTGTCCCGGGCCGGCGTAGCCTCTGCCTTTCCCCACAGCACACTGGCCCCCTAGGTTTGATCTAAGCCTTTTTGCCTCCTTCTGCTTCATTTTTTCATGTTGCCTCATTTTTCTGTCTTATTTCAGAATTTACATCCTCTTCCGACAGCCAAAGCATCTTTACAAGCTGCACCAAATCATTCTTGGAATAAACTCACGAAAGAAAGAAAGAACAAACCAGGGGTGACCCTTCGCCCACGAGCATCCACAGCCAGCTGTGTGTGTCACGTATGCACACATCCACCCCTCAGAGTCCCTTTGCCTCATTTTTCTTACTGATGTTGAAACTGTCTGACGGCATCTGTGTCCTCCAAGCCCATCTGTAAGCTGCTTTTATTCCTTCCTCGGGGCAAAGTAGGGTTAAAAATACAGGGATAAGTATTAGAATCGCAGTTGACCCCCCTCCCACCTGGGTCTAGGACTCCACAAGGGAGCGTTATGTATACAGACCAAACTCAACTCCATCCCAGCAAGGCTTTACCGTCCCTCTGTGCCTTCTTACTCAGTCTACCCTCTTGCTGTGGGAGTTGACGTCTCCGTAAATCCTCTTCTCCAACAGAGTCGAGATATCGAGTATTGAATCATCGAGGGATGAGGTAACCAGTGCAAACAGAACAGTCGCAACGGGTTGGTCCTCACCTCTGAGGTCTGGGCCAGAGCCCCTCCCCCTTTCGGGTCTTCTTATTTGGGAACTAAGCCAGAGACCCCCAGCGGTGGTCCTCAAGCGGGGGACCCAGGCAAAGCCCCCAGTGCAATTGCCCGCAGATCCCAGACTCACCTTGGCAGCTACGGAAGAATTGGGCTTCTCCAGGAGGTCCCAGAGCTTTTTCCTCTTCTCTGCGCAGCAAGTGTTATCGAACTCCTCCCCCTCCCGCTCCCGCAGGGTCTCGGCCTCCCGCTTGAGCTCCTCGTTCATCTGCTCCTTCTTCTGGTGGTAGCGGGCCTGGCAGCAGGACTCCAGGTAGATTTCGTCGATGCCCCAGTAGTCAAGCTCTTGGCTGAAGCTCAACGCGCACATCTCCTCCATCATGTGCAGCCGCCCAGTGCGGTAGAAGTTGAGGATGGAGGTGAAGGCGCCTGGATGGCGGTCAAAGAAGTACTCGTTGTCGTCGAGGCTGTAGTCGTCGCACACCTCGAGCAGCGAGTCGTGCGTGTTGCAGTCGCGTAGCTTGCCCAGCCGCGTGCGGGGCAGGCGGTCCAGGGTGCGCCAGAGCACCTCGTGTGCCAGACCCCCGACGTTGAGGCGGACACGCCTCGAGCACGCCTTGCTGCGCACGATCTCCATGGGCTCGGGCGGCAGCGAGCTGGTGGAGCGGGAGCCATGCTTCGTCATGCCCGCCGGCATCGCTGGTCCGGCCGCCCCCGCCCCCCCTGCCCCCCCAGGCCGCTGTCACTGGACCGCAAGGCCGGCCGCTGCGGGGGAGGGGGGCAGGGAGCGCTGTGGGCTGCTGGGGGTGCAGGGGACTGCACCTGCGCGCGTCACGGCCGTCTTCTCACCTCCATCCTGACCGCTGCAAGGCAGGAAGCGGACGCGGGTCAGCAAACAGGGAGCTGGGCGCGGCCCCTCCCCACCTCTCCACCGGGGCCCCAACTGGCCTTGACCTTCCCGGTACTTAAGCGGCTCAGGACTTGGGGGACGGGGTGGGGGGGTGGGGGTTGCCCTACGACTTGGCGCTGTCCCTCCCGCCGGTGCTGAAGTCCGCTCCACCCCATGGGTGGAGGGAGGGGCGGCTCTTCGGGACGGGGAGAGGGCCCCCAAGAGGCGCTCCGGGGATCCCGGAGGCCCCACCCCGGGTTTCTGCCGCCCAGGACCGACCCAGCCGCCCCGGGCGCTGTCCTCCCCTTCGAGTGCTGAAACTCGCTTCTTTCTGGGTCTCCCCGTCGAGTCCCAAACCAGGCCCCACAATGGGCAGAAAAGGGCGCTGTATGAAAAACTTTTTTTTTTTTTTTTTTAAGATTTCTCATCTTTTCTTTCTCCCTGCTTCGAAATAATTAGAATTTGAGTTCTAGGGGGTGGCAGCGTGTTTGTTTTTTTCTAAACCTTGAAAGACTTGGGGGGGAATTCTCGGGGGGATTGCTGCTGCCCACCTGTCGGAGGTCACAACTGACAGGGTGGTCAAAGACAGCCTCTCTCGGGAGCGACCCCTCTCCCTAAAGCACGGGAGCATCTCTTGAGGTCGCTCCGGTATCTAAGTGAGCCCTGAAAGATGCAAAGCCGAGATCTGCGCGGAGTCCTGACCCTCCCTCTGTGACCCCTCACTCCACACCGGGAGGGGCGCGCAGAGTCCTACGGATCCACCTGCTCCATCCTTCCTTTTCTCCTTCCCCGCCCCCTCCCCCCTCCTTGCTCCTCTCCTGCAATGGCTTTTTATAACTCCGGGTTCTGCGCCTTTCCCGGTGCTTGGAAGGGAATGGGTGGGGGAGGTGGGAGGCGGGGAAAGGAGCTGAATTTTCTGGCCTTTTCAAAACGTGCCCTCCTCTCGCCGCGCGCTGGTGATTTCGGGGGCTGCCCTAAGCCCCCCAGCATGTGCTGACGCCCCCTCCCCTCGTGCCTCCCTAGGCCCCAACCCCTGCCCGAAGAATCCCCCCAACCATAATATCCCCCCGCCCACTCCCCCACCCCCCGCCTGAAGCCGCGGAGCCCGGGTAGACCAACAGGCCGAACCGCGGCAACCGAGTCCCCGTCCTCTGTTCCTCTGTGTCCCCGCCGCTGGCCGCGCGCCTCAACACTCACCCCCTGGGCGGCCGCTTCCCGGGGCCAGGGAACGCGCATCGCCCCGGCCGCCCGGGCGCCCCCGCCCGCGGGCAGCGGCGGACCCGGGGCCGGGCCGGGCCCGGCCTACGCCGGCCGGGCAGGCGACGCGCTAGGGCTGCAGGCGCCGCGGAGCCGGGGCGCCCTCTCTGAGGCTGGGGGCGCGGGTGGCAGGTCCGCGATCGGGCGGCGCCTCCTGCTCCACCTCCTCCTGCTCCTGCTCCTGCTCCTGCTCCCGCGGCGGCGGCGGCGGCGGCGGCGGCGGCTGCTGCTTGAGCGAGATCAACAAGTCGGGGCTGAGCTTAGGCTCTGCGCTGGCTGCGATTCTGTCCCGCACTTCGGAGCGCCGGGAGTCGGGTACTGAGGCGGGACGGCGCCACCTGCGGGTCGGAAGCGTGCGCGCGGCTTAACTCCTGCCTGCCCGGCCCAGCCTCCAGGTGAGGATGGGGGCGGGCTAGGGCTTTGAGAGAAGGAGCTGCACCTGGCGGCGCGGCCCTTCCCACCTGGGCTCCATTTCCTGGCTGCCTCGCAATCCCGCCTTCCTTTGTCAGGTGAAGAAGGTGGGGGTGAGCGCCTACTCTGTGTGAGGCACTAGGATAAACGGCTGAGAAACAGCTGGGAATCAGACACAAATGTTTAGTCCTTGGAGAGCTGGCTGGAGACTGACAAAAACCAAGAAAGTCAAAAGATATGTCCGACGATGATAAGCGCTGGGGGGATAAGGAGGCAGAAGAGAGGGATAGAGGCGGGGGTGCGGTGGGGGCAGATTGCAATTTTAAATAGCCCTTGCTTTCATGAGTTTCCTTGCTAGATTCTCAAATCGAATTGTAGAATGGAATTCTGGATTCTAGTGGAAGAAGGTGGACAATAAAGTCGATCAACAGAGAAATAGGCAATGTGGCAGTTGGTGGCAAGGGCTAAGACGAAAAATAAAGTAGGGTGAGGGGAAGAGAGAGTGAGGGGTCAGCTGGTTTATAGAGCCTTGTGATTTATTCATTCGTTCATGTTACCTTGAGCAGCTGGTTATTGAGAGTTTACTGTGTGTCTGGCCCTGTGCCAGGCTCGGTAAAGGTACCATCCTCCCCTGGAGCTTCTGTCCAGTGGAGGAGACAGAATCCATCAAATAATCTCTAGAAATGAATACAGAACGAAAGGATTTACCTGAAGAGGTGAGCAAGGCTTTCCTAAGGATGCCATAGTTGGGCCTCATGTTCACTTATTTATTCTTTCAAATACATATTTACTGCTGACAAGTAAATAGGTGATAGGGATACACAGTAAGCACTCTGCTTTGGATGAGAAAGCTGTGGCTAAGCCACAGGGCCCCTTCCCCTCTCTGACCCTTTTCTTTATTTATAAAACAAAGAGATTCATTTCCATAGTGTTGCACATAATATTCATTTCCATAGTGTTGCACATAATATTACTATACACACACATGTATTATAATATGTACATATTATATACATAATATTATGTGTATATATACAATTATATACATACTATTAACATAATATATAGGTACATATACGTATATTTTTTATATTTATCTTTTATATTTAAAATTTTTAAATTTTATATTTAAATATATTTTACATTTAAAATATTAAAATATATTTAATAAAATATTATATATATTATATATATTTTTTTTTAAGTAGGCTCCATGCCCAGCATGGAGCCCCCCCAACACACAGCTTCAACTCATGACCCTGAGATCAAGACCTGAGCTGAAATCAAGAGTTGGGCCCTTAAAAGACTGAGCCACCAGGTGCCCCAATATTACTACGTTTTTTGAAGTCTGTTCACTTTTCATTACCTCCATCATCATGGTCCTTGTCCAAGATGTCATCATCTTGTGGGTAGAAGCCAGAGATGCTGCTAAAAATCCTCCAGGGCACAGGATGGACACTCACGATAAATAATCCTCCTCTTCTGAATGTCAATAGTGTCAAGGTTGAAAAACCCTAGATTAATTTAATAGAAGGCAAAGGCATTTGCTGGTCTGGAAATGCTATTCTCTCAACCATGACTTAGTGAGCACCTACTATATGCCAAATACTACTCTTAGACACTGGAGATACAGTGAGAAGAATAAAACAAGCAATCCCCATGCTCTTGGACTTACATTCTGGCGGGGAATACAGTTAGTAAACAAGTTAAATAAAGAAATCTGATCACTTAGGTTGTGATAAATGCCATGAAGAAAAGTAAACAAGAGGAAGTGCAGAGCATATCTGGGAGAGGCTCCAGCAACTTTAGACAGGGTTGTCAGATAGGAAGTCTTCCAGGAGGAGGTGATATATCTAAGCTCAGAACCTCAGGGCAAGGAGAGGAAAACCATGTGAAGTTCTGAGGAAGGGGTATAGGCAGGGGAGCCAATGAAAGCAAAGGCTGTAAGGTGGAAATGACCTTGGGAAGGGAGGTTAGAGAGGTAGACCGGACTAGGCCATGCAGAGCCTTGTTGGAATTTTATTCTCAAGGTTATAAAGAATGAGTTTGAGTTTTTTCTAATCCTGATGGGAAGCCATGACAGAGTTTTAAGCAGGGAAGTCCCACATGCTGATATACTCTGTGAGGTGAGCAGCTGTGTGCATTATGGAGTACTGGGGGGGACAAAGATGACAGCAGGAAGACCCCTCATGAGGCATCTGCAGCTGTCGGGGCCAGAGGTGAAAGGCTGAGACTGGGATGGTGGTGGTGGAGATGGCTAGGCAAGGTCACAGTCACAAGGCTCGGGCAGGAGATTGATTCTTCCCCAAGCCCAAGGCTAGTGCTAGATATTCCTTGTCATTTGGATTCTTTCCTCTGGGTGGCCCAAGTCCTGCAAAGTTGGGTTCCAGATTTAGATAAAGAACATCTAGATACATCTGGATCTTGGAAGTACAGACAGTGGGAATAGCTCTGTCTCTCTCTGTTTCCCCAGGCTCTGCACAGCATGCAGCTGAGAATTTTTACTTTCTGAATGAAAAGACTATAACTATTTGAAAACATCTCGCCTTCATTTCCTAGAATTTTCTGCCATCATAAGAGGAGAGACTTAAAAGCAATTCAGGGGAAAGTACAGCCCAGAGGTTGAGATACTGAGTCCTGACAATGTCATTAGAGTTTCTGGATCCAGTTGTGCCTGAAGGCATTGCCCGTGGGTTTTCCAGCTGTGTGAGCTAGTAAATTCTCCCTTTTTATCTAACCCAGATTGAGTTGTGATGTTTTCCTTTATGTCCCAAAGAGTCCAACTGATACAATTCTTTCTCCACAAACCAAAAGTTTACCATCTCCTTATAATGTACTTATAAGAAACAGGGGAAAAGCAAATGAATTCATAGGAAACAGGGCAAAAAGAATAATAAAATTCAGAATGTTTTACAGAGAAGCCCCCTCCCCCCACCCCGTAAGTGTTCAAGTATAACCATGTCATTTTATAGACGGGAAAAATTAACAGCTCATCAAGGAGAACAGTACCCCAAAAGTCAACCAGAGAGGGGGGCAGCTGAGGGCTGGTTCTAGGTCACAAACCATATCTATTCAGGCCCTCTCAGGAGACTTCCTGCCCAGAGGTGTTGAGATTTTTTACCTGAGGCTGAGTGATACCAAGTTAACCCAATTCACCCCTATAAATACAGGTGAATCCCTTCTCAACTGTGGTAGCAAGAGATGTATCCACTTGAAGTCAGTTTTTTCCTTCTTACACTCCATAATACCAGCTATCACTTACTTAAAATCCCACTAAGTGTCCTCAAGTTTCTTGGCACTTCCAGGCATGGAATGAGAAGTTCCCCTCTCCCCTCTCCCTCACAGACCCCTGGGAAAGAATAACTGCTTTATGAAGTAGTTACGGGGACACCCAAAGGCTCAAAGGAAATCACTGACATCTCTGAGTGGATGTCACTCAGGACAACTCCTCTTTGCTGTGGCCTTGCCCAAAGTTCCAGCAGCCCTGGGGGATTTTCCATCAGCTTGGACTCCAGTCTTCTCGCCTGCTTCTCTTTTGTCACACCCAATAATAATAATCATAATCACAAATAAAATGGGGTTCATGGTAAAATCTACCCCCCCAGAGTTGCTGGGGAGTCTAATGAGATAATACGTAGTGCTTAGCACTCATGCCTAACACTAGGAAGTGCACACTCATATAACATAGTAGCAACAGCCACAATAGTAACAGCCAACACTGAGCAGTTACTCTATACCAGACACTGTACTAAATGCTTTGCATGTATCTGACCTCATTTAAGATTCTTTTAAGCTCTCTCACCCTTGGGCTGAATATTCTAATATAAAGACCTATTTGCTGTTGGATGATCCTTGAGTGACCAGATGTCTGATTCTAGTGTCCATCCCATTCTACTCTAACCTGATGGACTTCATCAAGCCCTGGGTTTCCTGGACCAGGTTCCTGGTAAAGGGTAAGCCCGGTTTTCTTACCAACCCAAATATTTATGCGTTCTTCTTCCATCTTTTGCCCAGCACCTACCCATCAATCCAGCCATCTATTCAACCATCCATATACTATCCAACCATATAGCCATCAAATTATCCAACTGTACACCCAACCATTTATCTACCCACTTATCTATCAATCTATGTACTCACATAACTATCTTTTTTTCCATTCATTCACATATTCTATCCACTACCCATCTTTCCACCCATTCATACACCCACCAACCATTTATACATCCACTACCTATTCATTTATTTACCCATTCATCTACCCACTCACCCATATACCCAATTACCTACCCACCTAGTTACTCATCCACTTACCCATCCACCTATCCATGAGTCTACTTACTTACTTATTCTTCCCCACACACAGTTATCCAGACCAAATATTCATGCATCTGTCCACCACTCACCTATGCCCTCATCTGTCCACCTATCCATCCACCCACCCACTCACTGGCCATCACTCTCTTGGCCATCACTCACTCATCTTCTACCTACCATTTTAGAGTTTGTTATTACACGTATTGCTCTGTGGTAAGCTCCAGCTCCCTTCCTGGGAGGAAATATGGGTGCCCCCAAGGGTCCCACAGAAGGAGATAGGTAAACCTGCACACAGTCCATCAAACCCTTTTGTAGCCTGGACTTTGCCAAAGCCATCGACTCCCAGGGTCTGCAGCCAAAAAATGATGAAATACAGGGCAT